ACGGTATGACGTACGAAATAAGAAATAAACGGTAACGTAGCTCCAATTTTCTTGTTGCGTCATATGTTGTCAAACTAACGTGCATGTGGTAACTTACGTTTCAGATTGTAGTACCAAAGGTATGAGTTGCTTTTCATAGACGTAGGTAAACGAATATGAGTGACGATATCATAATCATAGCGCTTCTAGTGTTAATACACCTTTAACGCAAATGTTTAACGGTGGAATATCCTCTCTTCTTAATAGAAAAACATGAAAACGGCAACACTGCGCGCAGCTGTTCAATCTTTTAAAACAACGCACGCGCGATAAATCGCTAACGAACCCGCACGATCCGTAACGATTGCTCCTAATTTCGTAAGCGATAAGGTATGAAATGAAATAATCCATTACCTCTTACTTAACTATTAATAACAACTGTTGAATAAAAGAACAAAACTGTACAAAACTAGAAGAAAATATGGGTATAAGAAAAATAAAAGAATGTTAGTGAGGTGCCGGTTATGTCTGCAGCCCCCCCAATTTGAATTGCGTTTTACTATGAAACGGTATGAGTACAAAACTTTCTAATAAAGGAACAAAAAAGCACAAAACTAGAACAAAACCTTGCGTTTATAACAATATTTAAAAAACAATGTGGAGGGGCTTACATGTTTACCGCCCCCCCAATTTCATTTTCATATCTCTCTCAAACGATTTAAGAACAAAACTTTCTAATAAAAGAACAAAACGGCACAAAAGCGATACAAAATTTTTGCCTCAAAGTAGTTGTAAAATATCAAGTTGGGGGGGATGACGTGTTATCGGCCCCCCCAAATTCAACTTGCTCTTATCTAATGTTACGCTTAGAACAAAATATTTTGTTATTGGAACTAAACGGTACAAAACGTGAACAATACTTTAAATTAGTCATAACCATTTTTTCTAATACTGGGGGGGCTGGGAACATGGACCTATTCTTCACTATACGTGTTAAATGAACTGTCCAGAGTTTTTATATCTGCCGGTTAATTAAATAATTCCGCTTTTATAAATAAAATTAAGTGTTATGGAGAGGGGATTATAGTCTAGTAATTTATGACTATCAAAATTCTGTAAACTGATTCTGACAAATTCTTAGATTTATTATGAAAATGTATATAATGCATTTCTTCATTTGTCATGGTTGGCTTCATCTAGAGAAAGACTAAATTTGAACCACACAGTGAATCTGGATGATCTTTCTCTGCCATGAGTTGCAACATTGATTAATTTTTAATCTATGGTTGCAAATTTGGACTTTTAATGTGCGTTATGCATTTTTCACAATCGTGTTGCGTCCGTAACGGTTCCATTCAATAAAGTTTATTCACTCAGAATTATAATGTAAAAGCAATTAAGTAACACAATATACAGCACGCATTTAACAAATCATTAGGAAGATTGTGAGAATGGAGTTTCCTAACATTTAAATATTGTTTGTCGGCAAGATAAAGTTTGGTGTATACATATATGAAAGTATTTTGACACGTATAGGTACGCAATTACCACCCACTATACTCATCGAGGTATTACAATTTCAAATTTAGCTGTAAATAGTGTTTCTGCCATTGCGATATACCGCGAATACGTGAAATTCGAAAACTTTCATTATTGAAGGATTGATCGATTAAACGTTATTACTGTGTAATTACTAACACATATTTCACAAATACCTACAGCGTAGAAGTGCACGGCAAGAGCATTAAAGCCATTGAACAAGACTAGATTCTGATCATTTCATAATAATAGTTTAGTAGAGTAATGCAAATAAATTACGATTTTTTCTTAAATTAAGAGGACACTCGAGTGGTTAATTCACAATACTCTAAGGTCATACTTGTCAGATACTAAACGATTAAATATCGGGAACCTTCTCAACTTAAAATGGTCTTCTGCCTTAAATAATTTCTAGTACACTTTTGATGTGTAGATGATGTAAGCAACCTTGTAATCTATGATTTAGGTTACTCTATAATACACTTATATCACATAATTAAGTGAAATTTTTTTTTGACTTTCAGCTATCACGCGTTGCATCTTGCGGCCATCAATTACCTATAATAATGCGAGTGCACAATGGACTCGCACCGAATATATTTAACGGAAAATGTTGCATTATAACGGAAAAGTGGTTCGATTGTGTTTACATAAAACCACACATCTGCATGCGTAATTATAAATCATCTTTTTGATGAATGGAGGATTCCCTTCTGGAACGAGGTCAAAGCACTTTTATATGCAAATCTATTACGGTTATGCTATTCCTACGTTATGTACTTTTTATACTTTTACTTTCTTCCCATTCGTGAGTATAAGTTGAAAAGTAATTGATTCATTAAGCTTTAGCATTTTGATTTACGATTTTAATTTCTAATCTGGACTCCAATTTAGTTACGTTCGTTCAATTTAAATCGCATATCTGAAAGTACTTTAATTTAATCAATTGTTTAATATTGCAATATTTAAAAATTTGAGTTATATCACAAAAATCTTCGAATATGTTATGTTTTACATACCTATTATGGATCGAAATAGTACTTCCTTTTATACTAGATGCCTTGTGGTTCGTTATCGCACTTATTCACAAATGTTTTCTGTCGTATTGAGCTTTTCAAAGGTTTCATAATTGTAACTTTGGAAGAATTCAAGGAATGTGAGCACTTTTCGATTTGTACCGCCACCCTTATTGCCGATTGTTCCAACTAAGCAGCCAATTTTCTCCTAAGTTAACCGTACAGGGAGTTTTCTAAATCAAATATGAGAGTTCTGGTCTAGTTCAGGTTATCAAAAAAGAAAAAGAAAATGCCTTTATTTTCCATCTTATTTTTAATTTTAGTATACGGCACCTACAGTAAAATTAAAGCAAACAGGGGGATCACCTGTGGAACTGATTTTCCGAATACTAGAAATAATACTAAGGCCTCTAGTCGGTGTTGAAAACCTGTATATCCGGTATGCAGAACCACAATGATTCCATTTTGGCTAAAATGCACTCCGGATTCACCGGAATCCTCTTCACTGGGCGGACATCAACTCCTCATAAACCTAACCAGTACAAATGTGTTCAATGTGTTGTTCTCCTTTTGACAAAATGTGGGCCTCAGAGCGTTTTTGATTGATGACAACACTTTGAGTTCTGTGATCTAAGTAGGACGATATCAAGGGCAGTACTGGTTAGTGGCCGCTGTATATGTCAAAGATAACATTGCTTCTTTACATGTACTCGCTAAGGGTGTACTACCAAGTAAAGGTATGGACGTATGGTATGAGACAGACCTTAACTCCCTCTTGGCTGGGGTTGGAAAACTTTTATCATGGGATATTTTCTCAGTAGCGACCGGGATGCGTTCTCATCCGGTGCACAGGATGGGCCTTACAAATGGAAGTGAAGTCACTCAATACGTTTAACATTCATTTCGTTTGCATGATTATTTTCATATTCATTTTTTTAAAGCTCCCTTTAATTTGAATTGAATTAGTCAATTGTTTTTTAATATTTGGAAAATATGCTCCTTCACAAAATAAATTGCCTAAATCAAGCATTATCGACAAATTATTTTCAAGATCTGTTTGAGTAAAATCCGGACCATGATGCAAAAACTGTGAAAAATTTGTAGTGTTTAGAAATTCATACCAAATTTCGCAGTTTTGAAAATTCTAAAACTTTATTTATTGGTGAATGCCCTTTTTTCTATATACCAATGAAATATACACTGAAAAAAAAATTTACCCATACACCCATGCACAAAATGAACGTTTTTGTAGAGAGTGGAGCGAAACGAAAATTTGTGTATCTATTGCAGCATTTTTAATTATTAGTTGGATTTGCAAAACCTTCCGTATTTTCCGAGTATGGTGTAAAAAAGCTGCTCATGTTACTTTGTCACGTTCTTCATAGATCGCTAACTAATTAGCTCGTTACTTAAACTGAATGGGGCCTTTTTATAATTATAAGTATACCTACCAGTACCACTTTAAAATACCTATCTAGGTACTTAATTAATTGTAGTTCACATGCTAAAAATTCAAACAAATACTAAAATAATATCCCATGCCCTGGCGGCAGTAGTGACATCTGTGATTGCACAATCAGTGTTACCGGCACAAAGGGCATTCTACAAGAATATCAGTGTTTGGAATGCTTCTGTGTTTGTTTTTTCGATGTATTCATTCATTTTATCGACTCTTCTGTTTTGCGTTTTAAGTCTGTTTTTGGGTACCACTGGAAATAGTAATATACCGGGCGAATACTTTCAAACCGAACATAGGGAATTAAC